TATGATTCAAAGGAAGGATTAGAAGGAACAGCACTACATTTACCCTAATGTAGGGAATATCTGGTGAGCACAACAAGAGCCATACCTGCATGCAATATGCAGGATGCAAAGGAAATCCACAAATCTCTATGTCTAAAATCTTTTTGAAACATCTTGTATTTTCTCTGCTACTTGCATCACCAAAATCACAATCTTTACAACCTCATCAAAATTCCATGGTCATACTTTTACTTACAATAGCAAAGGGAAGAAAGTATTTTACTAAAGTAAAACAAAACAAAAAAAAAATAAAATGAAAAGAAGTCTAGCAAACTTGTTTTGTTTCTATGAAAAAGGTTTATGTAAACATTTCATACATATATATATATATATATATATATATATATATATATATATATATATATATATATATATATATATACACATACATTTCATACTTAAATACATACATATATATATATAGACAAATATATATGTATATGTATATCTCTATGTATGTATGTATATGTATGTATATGTATGTATATGTATGTATGTATGTATGTATATGTGTATATATATATATATATATATATATATATATATATATATATATATATATATATATATATATATATATATATATATACATATATATACATATATATATATATATATATATATATATATATATATATATATATATATATATATATATATATATATATATACATATATATACATATATATACATATATATACATATATATACATATATATATATATATATATATATATATATATATATATATATATATATACACACACATATATATATATACATGTATGTATGTGTATATGTATGTATATGTATGTATATATGTATATACATGTATGTATGTATGTACATATATATGTATATATGTATATATGTATATATGTATATATGTACATATATACATATATTTGTGATATATTCAAAAATCACATGTATATATGTACATATATACAAATATATGTATATGTGTACATATATATATGTACGTATGTACATATACATACATACTTATATATATATATGTATGTATGTATGTGTATGTGTATGTGTATGTGTATGTGTATGTGTATGTGTATGTGTATGTATATGTATATGTGTGGTGTGTGTTTGTGTGTGGTGTGTGTGTGTGGTGTGTGTGTGTGGTGTGTGTTTGTGGTGTGTGTTTGTGGTGTGTGTGTGTGTTTGTGGTGTGTGTGTGTGTTTGTGGTGTGTGTGTGTGTTTGTGGTGTGTGTGTGTGGTGTGTGTGGTGTGTGTGTGTGGTGTGTGTGGTGTGCATGTGTGTGTGTGTGGTGTGTGTGTGTGTGGTGTGTGTGTGTGTGGTGTGTGTGTGTGTGGTGTGTGTGTGTGTGGTGTGTGTGTGTGTGTGTGTGTGTGTGTGTGTGTGTGTGTGTGTGTGTGTGTGTGTGTGTGTGTGTGTGTGTGTGTGTGTGTGTGTGTGTGTGTGTGTGTGTGTGTGTGTGTGTGTGTGTGTGGTGTGTGTGTGTGTGTGGTGTGTGTGTGTGTGGTGTGCGTGTGTGTGGTGTGCGTGTGTGTGGTGTGTGTTTTCACATGTGTGTGTGTGTTTTCACATGTGTGTGTGTGTTTTCACTTGTGTGTGTGTGTGTTTTCACATGTACGTGTGTGTAAACAAGCCTATCACTGTATACAAAATATGAGCATAAAGTTGTGACATATCCATCTTCATCAAGGAAATGCCCCACATAAATATATCTCTTTTCAGATTTAACAACTTCACTAAAAAAGAAAGAAAGAAAGAAGTTTAAACTGAGTCCACTTTGAAAACTGTTTGCCAGTACTAGATTGCTAACTTCTATGAATATATTCTAACATCATGAGAGGAAGGGATTACATTCAAATGCCCATGACACAACATTTAAAAAACTCACTTCCAAATTTTCAGAAGCTTAGTTTAGCAACTAGAGAGGAATACTCACAAAATAGTTATTTCCTATATTGCAACAAAGCTACTTACACTACATATTATCCACCCTTCATGACATAATTATTTAGTGGGTAACAAATTATACAATCCCTGGGCAAAGGAGTGAGTAAAAGTACTGCAACTACCCATAATTCATTTTCTTTTTCCTTTTTCACACACACATGCAGACATGCATGCACTCTTATACACAGATTCCTTCATTCCTTCACTCACTCTCAACAAAATGTTAGGGACAACTGTTACAGAAAAAGAAACATCCTCTTACTCTTTCCCTTCTGAGACTTTAAACATTTAAGCCATTTAATCATATGCTTCTCCTGGATGTAGGCCATAAAATATGGATATTTCTTACTTTTCATCCTAGCAAGGCCTATATTCCTTTGCACAAGCATCTAAAATGATCAACTGAGTTTGGCAAGTTTATAGGATGTAAGAATTTCATGGGAGGATTCTCAAAACTGGCACAATGATTACAAGATCTTGTAGCTGCAGTCAGTGGGTAGTAAAAAAAACATTTGAAAATGAAAGAAGCAAAAATCTTCATTTGGCATAAATTATAAAGCCTGTACAGATATATCTTTCCTGTTTTTCCCAACTGCTTGCATACACTGTGTATATGGTATTTTTCAGGCAAACTCTCATGTCACACACAAACATATTATATACTTAAGCTCAGAGTAACACTCACTCACTCACTCTCTCACTTTCTCTCTCTTTTGTATATCACAACACCAAAATTTGGGGTCATGCCATCAACCTTTCTGCTTCCAGAATTGTCTAAGCTCTTCCTTGCACAGCAAGTCCAGTTTCTAGATTCTTAACAAGTCTTAAATTAATTCTTATATCAATACAATTGTAATTTTCAACAATGGAATTGTAATGCCATGCTGTTCATAATCTATGAATCATAACAATTAGTAACTCTTAATGTCTCTTGATACTGAGAAAAAGAGTAAAAAATAAAAATCATGTATTCATAAGTATAAAACACAATTTCATCACAAATGAATTTGATTTAACATAAGCCCACAATAATATCATAGACAAAAAATAACTCCTGACCACACAAGCACAAAGGTAATGACATTTTTACCAAGCTCAAAAACTTTTTTAATCATAAAAAAAACTACTTTCAAACATAAATTAAATATTATACATATCTATATATCCTTCATAATCCACTAGCACTTAAACTGGCCATATCACAGTCTTTTCAATTCGCTTAACAAAATCCTAAAGCTACCACAAGTCACTCATTGAATTTTGCTCAACATAGAGCTATGAAAAAATAAGCACTGCATTTATATACACAAATAGGAAGAAAAAAAGAGGAGTGAAAGTATTGCATATTTTCTAACAGAAATTCATTTTTCTTATATTGTGAGCACAAATGATAAAATCGTCAAAAATTGGGCTTGTTATAAAACTGTTCAACTGCTTCTTCTGACACATTTATGAGGAACTATCATATAAAAAAGAGAAAAAAAACTAAGAGAGAAAGAGCAAAAAATAAGACTAGGGTATATCCTTTGGTTTAAAAATGGGTGATATTGCAGCATTCAGAACTGATGTGTGGCCGCCAAATTGCCATGAGCAGTTGGGTCTGCATTAAGAGGACCTCAAGGCAGAGTCTTGGTCCCCAGTCCCCATTAACAGCAAAATCTAGACTTTTCAGGTTCAGCTTCCATCAGGCTGTAGGAATGATTTGGGCGTGCAAACCCTGTTTTAATGCCATCCCAGCCTTCTTCTATCTTGAAGTCTCCAGTTTGTACCTGGAAAAGAGGACGGATGATGGGTTACTTTTTTTTTTTTTTTTTTTTTTTTTTCCTAATTCATAAACCCTTGTTACACTTGACTGAAGAAAGTTAGAATAGAATGGAAAAAAAAAATATATATATACAAAATTTGACATCAAATTCTTTATAGTCCATTAATAAAGTCTGTACTAAGAAGAGTGTTTTATTTACTTTGTTAAGAATCAATCTTAAATTTATATAAACCTGTTATTTGACAACTCATTATCTAACAATTACTAAGTGCATTCCTGTCATAACAGCATTTTGAAGGAGAAAGCTCACATTCCTATCAGTAATACTCAGTCTTATCAAAAGTTTTCGGTTACGTATCAACTCACTGGCACCAGGTAATTGCACTTTTCACTGTAGTTTTGTTTTTGGTATTTTCATCTACACATGGCTCCACATGCATAGTCACCAAAGAGTCAATTAGTAAGCCTACCTCACCTCAACTGATATCCCATTCCATGAATTTTCAGGGAAAGCTTTATTTTTTCAAATTCTATTAATATAATTACTGTTATTATTACTATTATTGACATTGGGATCATCAAAATGTATCAGTACTATTGTCATCGGCTAGACTTTATGAATAAGTATTTAAAGGAAATCCTTACCCAAGGACACCATTATACACTATATTACTGGTTTTCCAAAGGTTGCATGATACATGGCATGGTAGTTCAGGGAACTCCACATTCCACTGAAGCTACCGAGCAGTATAAGGAGTTGTACCTATGGTAGGATAAGTCTTTAGTATTTTACAAGGCACTATAGACACTTTGCCTTGGGTGCATAAGGGTATTAATCTATAGGGCACAAATGTGGTTCATGGGTCAGGGTCAGCAGATTCAAGACAAGCCAGGGCACTTGCGTGTCACTTGTGCCAGAATTCAGTACAAAGCATGACTGTGTGACTACATAAAAGACTACAAAGGATAATTAAATATTGGAAATGATTAATACTTATAATGAACTCTATTGAATTCCAAGAGACATCAGTGAGGTGACACTGACAAGAGCCAAAGTCATTTCATTTTTCCAGTTGGAGACAACATAAGGCGATGAGAATTTATTTTCCTGTGTAAGTAATCTCTATCAAAACTACAAATTTATTTCCTACATTTATGATAACCAATTAAAAATAATCTTTAACCCAACTGCCCTAGATCTATGTTCCGTCCATTTTAGTTTTTGGTTAATTTTGTTACATACAGATGGCTC